TTTGTAAGAACTGTTCCGGCTAAACCGTTAACTATTTTCCAGGAGGTTTTTGGTAGCTTTTTATAGAGTTTCAAATGATTATTTTATTTTTTATTTTTATTTTTTTTTTGGCTTTCATAGAGTAACCGAAAGTGCTCGCATTCAAACATCACTTGGAAAGTTCTTACACAATGTATACCCACAAAAACTTCTAGGGACGCAAAATATATACAATAAAAACCTTAATCGCAGTACCTTATCAGTTGTCTGCAATGGAAACTTGGAAACTGTATGAAAGATGGATTGGTGACCAAATACACATATATATATATATATATATATATATATATATATATATATATATATATATATATATATATATATATATATATATTCTCCCAGTGTAAATAGGTATGAAATAGTATGCTTTACATATATATATATATTTTCCATATTCTTTAGGAGATGTACTGAAAAGTTCTTGGTCCAACCTCTTCGGGCTAAAAAGATCAAACACCAAATTTTGAGGGAATCAATAGACCGAGAAACCTTAAGACTTCATTGTTATATATATATATATATATATATATATATATATATATATATATGAATAAAGACAAAAGGAAAAGTTATCTTAGCCGATGCGTTTCATCTGCTTAGGGACCTTAGCAAGGCATTTGCTTCCCTTGATAAAGTCCGACAGATGATATGTTTTCATTTTGTCTTTATTAATATTGTCCTTTTACAGATATACACTATCTGAAATCTTTATATATATATATATATGTATATATATATATATATATATAATTGTATGACAAAATAGAAAATGTGTTTTGTGACGCGTTTCATCCGTTAGAACTTCACTGGACCGGGCTTTGTTGATGTTGCCACGACTAAACATGTGCAAAAAAAAAAACGAGAGACGCTGGTAGTTTCAAAATTTTTGAAATAATAAAAACAGCAACACAAAATGCGTTGGTTGTTAACCGTAACGAAACTGCCCACAATTTTTGTCATAGGGAATCCTATTCTGATTGAAAAAGAAAATAATTCTCTAAGACCAAAATGTCTGGAAAATGCCATGATCGCTAGTCCAGCCACGGTAAATATGCATCCAGTCTTTTACAATATTTCACCATTCTTGGCAGATTTTCTATTGTCACAATGTGAGATAGTCAGGGACAAAGGTGATGGAAAGAAAAAGAATATAGATGAATTTGGCTAGATTGAATAAATATTCTTTCAAAAAATAATCTTTCAAAAAATATTCTTTCTAAAATTTTGAAACTACCAGCGTTTCTCGTTTCGTGCGCATGTGTGGTCGTGGCAACATCAACAATGCCCAGTCCGATGAAGTGCTAACGGTTGAAACGCATCACAAGAACTATTTTTTTTCTAATTGGTCATACTATTTTCTCAATACTGTTTCTTGATATATAAAATTATACATCATATATATTTATATATGTGTGTGTGCTGGTGTGTGTCTGTGTGTTGATATAATTGTTTATTTTCATACATATATATTCATATATGCAAATGTATATATATATATATCCAAATACACACACACAAATACAAATGTCAACCTACATACCCAGGCAAGCACGTACAAACACACATACATACTCTCATATACACTTTCACATAATTATAAATATAAATATATATATATATATATATATATATATATATATATGTATGTGTGTGTGCAACACTTTAGATAAACAGACTGATGTTTGAACGTGTGTGCTTATATGCGTATGTACGTGCATGTGTGTTTGTATGACAGAACGTCCATTTGAAGCACATGTCAAATTATTCGATTAAGTTTTATTAGTTTCCAATTTTCTTTTTGTAAATATTTATTACTCGTTTTCTTTCAATTTTGGTCATGGATGTTTTTTGGGTTTTTTTTTCATTTGTTTCATATTGGTTCCTTTGTTTGTTTTTTTTCTGTTTTTTTTTTTTTTTTTTTCTGTCCCTTGTCTCTTTTCTCATTCGCTAGGGAGAAAAAAAAACGATTCTTTCACTCATGTCACCTCACATTAAAAAAAAATATGAAAGAGTGACGAGAACTGCTCCGAAAGTAATGTCTCCCATTTTATCGTCTTGTCCCCTGTCGTCAGAACCTGATGTTGCCAGTAGTAGTTAACCCTTCCTGCTAATAACCCATATTGTTTTTTGTTTGTTTGTTTGATTTTTGTTGTTGTTGCTTTTTTTTTTTTTTTTGGTCTGGTTACAGATCGCAACCCTGTTGCACTCTGGCAAAATAGCGTAACATGGAAGTGCGTACGAAGCAAAGCATCGAATACCTCCCTTATGGAAATGATTGCACCAAATGACATCCATTGACGCTTGCCAAACGTTTACATAGACCACACAGTGGACGCGAGCACAGTTAGGCGGTGAATAATGCGTTTCAGCAGTGCTGAGAGCGATGCGGGTGACAAGATACGTCGTGGGCCGATGAAAGGTGGATTACGCGGATAACCTTTTTTCCTGACAAAGTCATCGCTCATGTTAAATAGGGTTATTGTGACTGAAAGCCTGCTCTCCTCTCTCTGTCTCTCTCTCTTTCTCTCTCTCTCTCTCACACACACACACACACACTTTCTTTCTCAGTCTTTCACTCTCCCGAAGGGTGAATTTATGTTTCCTGTATCTATGGCAATAAGTAGGAGGCATTACTTTTGAGACGTCTATCGTATATTCCCCCTTTTTTTTTCTCTCTGATATTTATTTATTTTATTGTTTTTTTCTTCCTTCTTTTCTCCCGCGTTTTTCATTTGACTTGTATGCTTACAAATTGTGTAATTCTACCCTTTGCACGGACCCTTAAGTGTTTCCGATAGAAATATACGGGTGTGGGTTATTAAATATTAATTGAATGTATTGTTTTCTTTCCTTTTTTTTTTTTTTTTTTTTCTTTTTTATTTTCACAACCCTCATCAGTTTTCTATCTTTCTCATTTGTTTTTTGGGGGTTTTTTTGCCTCCTTTTTTTTAATTCCAATATATATACACAATCTGTAAGCAATATTTTTAACCTGATAAAATGTTTTTTTAAGCAGTAAATTATTTCTTGCAAACATATGTTTCTCCTGATTTTATTTGTGTTTTTTTTAAATATTTTCTCTTTTGATTTGGATTCAATTTGCACTAAATCAGAATAATGATCATGACATGCTTAATGATAACAGTAGTGAGAGATAATGACGACATTAATTAAGATGAACTTGTACTGATGGTGTTGTCTATTGGTGATCATGACGATGAGTTTGCTCGTGATAATGACGATGATGATATATTCCTTGCACTCGCCTTCTGCCCCTCTCACACTGCGTTTCTCTATTCAGCTCCCTCCTAACTCCCCCTTTTTACATCGATCTTTTCACGTTTTAATAATCGTACGAATATGTTCGTACAGTTGCCATATCATACATATCCGCATTTACTCACTATGGCGTCTGGTAATGTCATTTTCTCTATTTTCAGATCTGCTGTGATAAAGGAAAGGTTTAAACTTTTATATTCCACTGGCCTACACGACCGTCGACGTGTCAGGTTCTTCTTCTTCTTCTTCTTGGGACTGTATTTTTCTTTTCTTTCTTTCCTTTTGTTTTTATCACTATTGCTGTTTCTATTATCAACGTCATTATGTTCTTCGCTATCCCAACGCCTATCGTAAATACTTTGTCCTCGGTGTTGAGGACGACTATCGGGTCGCAACCGAGGATTCCTGCCTCGATAAAGATATCGAAAGTGCACCAGGAAAGGGAATGAAGAACGAACACGAGCCTCCTCGGGGTTAAATCGTGAATCTAGACCGTTTCTTACTATTTCCGGCAAACTCTTTCCGCCATTTTTTTCTAACGGGAACGGCCAGTTTTCTGGTTGGTCAGTGAATTCAGCTATCTCGTGCCACTTCTTCCGATACGGACTGGCTTGCTGATTCCACTTGTTGTTTGTAGCAGCTGCGGCGACGTCTTCTCTCGGAGGTCGAGTTACGTGTAGATGATCTGTCGGGCAGCGATCACTGCATTGGTTGCTCACGAAGCCCAAGCGTGGTCTGACCACCAACCCATTCAAACCAATACTTCTGAACGAGACGAAACGGGATTTTATACAGCAGCCTTTATTCAGCCCTTCGTCCTCATCAGCTATCTGATCGTCATTAAGTCCAACTTCATCATCATCATCATCATCATCATCACTATCATCATATTCAAAAGAAGAGTTGTGGTAGTCGTCGTCGTCGTCATTATTGTAAATATCGTTATCCCCAGAAAACGATTTCCTTTCAACTTCTCTGTTTCTGCTGACTTGTGTTGTTCCACTTCCAGCGCTGGTGAAGTGAGTCGTCTCGTTACGTTTCAAGACGTTACGGTCGCCTTCGTCGTCATCTCGAATGCCGCGATCGTTTCCTTGGATAACTGTGGGAGATTTGTCAACAATTGCGTCGCTGATCGGGCCGGGGTGAAGTTGCTTCGCTAGAGTTGCGTAGGTGCTCATTTCGGCAGTCGTTTTCCCAATGCTGGCACCAAAGGTGTCCCTCGATCCGAACCTGAAAATGTCACGGCGCGGTCGGCGCAGGCGACGCGTGGCAACAGCAGAGGCGACTGCAGCAGTGTTTGGCTTTGTGTTAAGAACAATGATAGGAGACCGCCGCTTTCGCGAGCCCAGATCGCGGAATTCCTGTGACTTCTTTGATTTCTTCAGTGGCAGCACCACCCGCACTTTCTTGTTGCATTTCTCACAACCGACGTGCAGCTTGATGGGTTGGTGTTGTAGTTTGGTGAGTAAGTAGACAGGTAAGTTGATCTTCTGCCAACCTTTGCGTTTCACACGCAGTTTGATCGTCGCGAATTCGGCCAAATTGCCATCTGCTGTGTTTTCTGAGACGTGCAATATAATACGTCGGCGCCGACGTTTGCCCTTCGTCTTAATGTAGATTTTTAATACAGCACTGGTAACTTCTTCCCCAGAAAAATCTTGTTTGTCCATTCGGAACAACATGATGCTGCTGTTAGTGGCGTTTCCTAGTAAAAGAAAATAAAAGAAAAATTGATTAGAGCATAGTAATGATTTTTTTTTTTTTTACAGCTTATAAAACTTTTTCAGGTTATTTAAGACCAGAAAATATTTTTAGATAGTAAAAATATTTCAGATATAATAATGATACAAGTTCTACTAATGTGGCACCATGCATAATTGGAAAACTGAAAAGAGATATTCATAAATATATGATTTGTTTTTTCGGTTTGTTAACCATTTGATAATTATTTAGAGCTGAAAAATATTTCGGGGTTGAGAATAATTCTTTAATTGCGTTCAGGCGATCTGGGAGAAAGAAAGAAAAGAAGAGGAAGAAGAAAAGAAAGGAGAAAAATAAATAATACGAAACCAGGTCGTAAGCGAAAACACACACGCTCGACTGGCACATATCAGATGTCAAAAATATCAGGTCAAGCACCTGACCTACTTCCGTGTCCGCGGAGGATGGAAGTTTGTTATCAATTTGGTTGAAGAAATAAAGTTTAGAGACAATGGAAAAAAATATGATAGGTAACAGGTGGGAAGCTTATCTAAGGATATACAGACAATCCATTAATACGAGAACCCAGACAATACCAGAATTGAACATACAGCCACACAAGATGATGATTATAAAATGCTTTTTTTTGAGATAATACAGATTTTTATTATCGTCCTGAGGAGAATGAAATATTTTGTTGCGTTCAGAGAAACGCCGATAGATCTAAGAAATCCCTTTCTTAGATCGTATCCAATTAGCGATAGGCTGTTTGACAGATACCGCGTGTGAAGGGAGCCGAGAGCGTCATTTCGGTCACATACGAAAAGGACAGTTTAAGTTTTTGTTTTTTTTAAGCAAGGTGTTTCTTCCCCCAGAACAGGGCCACGGATTGTCCACGCCCGATTAAAGACGTCACGAAGGAAGGAGGAAAGATACCGACCAGAGTCTCATTGGCCGAAGGCGGTCACATGATATATGAGGGAGGAGGAGAGACCCCGACCAGGACCCCATTGGCGAGAGCGGCGGTCACATGATGTGCGAGGGAGGAGGAAAGATGCCTGACCAGGACCCCATTGGTCGAGAGCGGTCACCTGACATACGAAGGACCAGGGAAAGCGGGTATACGCCCCCCAGAGGCACAGTAAGGAAGTAGGAGGAAAGTGTTACCGAAAATGGAAAATCCCTAATCAGAAATAATACGTCTTTAGAATTATCAAGAAAACCCTGGCGCCGACAGACCCACCCAAGTTTTTGACTGCCTCAATAAAAGCGGGACCCCAACCGACAGAAATCAGTTGAGTTGCAGTTGCGCCGCGGACGGCGAGGGAGTTTGAGCGCGGGCGGCGGGCCCGGTTCCTTCGCTCCCTTGCGGGCAAGAGAAGCCGAAGTGAAGCAGCCCGTTTGGCCTAAGTGGAGAAGTTGGAATCAAACCGAAGTGAAGAAATTCGTCCAACCCAAGCCGAAGTGAATAAGCTCGTCCAACCGAAGCCGAAGAGAAGAAGTTAATTCGCGCACTGACGGCAGAGATGAGTGAACAATAATTCAGACTCTGAAGAGAGAGTTAGTTGCAGCTGCGCCGCGGACAGCGAGGGAGTTTGAGCGCGGGCTGCGGGCCCGGTTCATTCGCCCCTTTGCGGGCAAGAAAGGCCGGTTCGTTTGGCCTAAGAAGAGAAATTCGTCCAACCCAAGTCGAAGTGAAGAAATTCGCCCAACCCAAGCCGAAGTGAATAAGCTCGTCCAACCGAAGCCGAAGAGAAGAAGTTAATTCGCGCACTGACGGCAGAGATGAGTGAACAATAATTCAGACTCTGAAGAGAGAGTTAGTTGCAGCCACGGACGGCGAGAGAAATCAGCCGTGAACGACAGGTAGAGATCAGCGCCCAGTGTTGAAACCAAACCACACCCCGAAAATGCAAATTTCTAGAGAGCAAGCAACTCGAAGCCTTAAAGTTGTATGGTAGAAGCGTGGTGCCACGGTCCACAGAACGGGTCGGGAGGTAGGAATAATCTTGTGTAACGAAAATTAGATATAAAAAGTTGTTACCTTTTTTCTTCAATATTTTTTGACCTTGTGAGTTTTATTTTTCTTTGTGTGTTATCACCCCGTTGGACTCAGCTTGCATACGGCCCAATCCCTGTTTGATCCCGTCTGTCTAAGATCTAATCACAACGTGGGTAGACTGACCGGAGATCAGTGTAGTTACCCTGGTAACCAGGCGTTGGAAGCGGGTTGGGAACGACGAGGCTGGTATTCATCTAGCCAAAGGGTTAGAACGTCACACTTGGAGCAGCAAGGAGCGAACAGCTGGCGTCGCGAACGGGATCGAACGACACAGTCGACGCTGCGACCAGGGGGGACGACGTCACATAATTAACCCTTAGCAGGGGGAGAAGAGGTGGGTTCATACCTCTTCTTAGACTATTTGTGCGTAAGTGAATTGTTGTAACCTAGGAAGGGTTACTGAATGAGGAATAATCAAAACTGGGGTTGGAAATGAAATGGCAATCTTTATAACATCAACAAAATACAATACTCGCCAGCAGCGTGAAGTAGGTAAACCACCGCTAGTAGTGGACTACTTAAACAGCATATTACGATATTTACCTGCCTCCCCACCAGCTCATGCATTAGTATATGCAGTTTTAAAAGTATTTGAATATAGAAAATATTACATATCTATATAACCCCAACAAAATGCAATACTCACCAGCGGCATGAAGTAGGTAAACCACTGCTAGTGGCTGACTATATAGACAGCATATTCCCCCTACTTACAATAGCGTCCAATGTATTTATGAGGATTGGGACATACCCATTAGTGTTCATAAGTACGGCATATAACATGAATATACTCGACTCACCGATTTTCAATTCCGTGCTGTTAGCCATTACTCTACCCGTACATCCAATATACAAGAACAGAACTACGAGCAAGCCACCAATCTGCCACTAGGCGGCATGCCACTAGCGTTTATGGCCCACTGACCGACCACCGGCGTATTCCTCTCGGAAATTTTACCACTAGCGAACCGCTAGAGGCCCACTGTTGGCCTGCCGGTGGTTGCCATCAATGACAACACCTATGCATATATACTATGATCTATTCGATTTGTTCGAACTGTTAATCTTATTTTATTATACAAACCATTTGACATTAGATTTTCTAACTCAGAATCCAAATACACACCACTGATTTATTTATTTCCTAGGGGATCTAGGCGTTTAATAATCAAGTGTTGTTGTTATGAACTGTTTGTGGACACGGCTTAAAGTAAGCAGTCCACACGTGAAAAAAAAAATGGAATAAATTTTAACAATTTTTTGTAGTGAACGGAATGGGCGACACAGAAATCCGAAGACGCATTATGATAGCGAAAGAAGCCTTCCAAAAGCTAAGCAAAGTATTAAGAAACAGAAATAGTCCGTTAGAAACAAAGCTATTGCTATTTAGCATTAGATGAAAACATTAACCTGACCTCGATACTGATAAGAATGGAACCCATCTAAGCATTTGTCATGGAAATAGCGAGAGAGTAACAATAGGCTTGAAACGTTGCATCTGTCTGAAAACAGATGCAAAGTGGGGAATATCTTCTCATAACGCGTAAAAGAACTGCAAGGTTAGAAATTGATAGTTGAGCAGCTTCGGCATAGATATGGTAGAAATATTCCGTTTTTGGTCTAATCAGACTCTTATTGGCAAAGAGATGCTTCGACTGCGCACCGTCAGGATCCGCGCATTGGTTGAAAAAAAAACTAGCCATTACCCGAAAAGGTGAATTTAACATGATATGAAAACTTTAACCTCACCGCGATAGTGATAAGTATCTTGAAAATCATCAAGAAAGGCTGGTTAAAATTTCTTATACTTGTACAAAGAACATCATTTAGAAATAGTAATACGGTAATTAATGTAGAAAGCGAGAAGTAAGGATGAAACATCAATTGTAAGACAGAATTTTTGGTTGCTAGGAAAAAGAACAGCCTGACATGCAAATTACAAATTGGAGATACTAAAATCAATCAAGTACAACAATTTAAACATCTGGAAAGTGTTTTAACACAGGATGGAAAATGTGGCAGTGAAATCCGAAAGCGCACTGGTATAGAGAAAGATGCCTTCCAAAATCTCAGCAAAGTATTAAGAAACAGTAGTTCAACACTGAGATCCGAAGACGTATTGGGATGGCGAAAGGTGCATTCCAAAAGCTAAGCAGAGTATGAAGAGACAGGAAAATTTCGTTGGAATCAAAGAAAAGAGTACTGGACTGTTACGTGATATCTGTCCTCCTGTATGACAGCGAATGCTGGACAATCTCCTCAGAGATGAAGAAGAGACTTGAAGCAACAGAAATGTGCTCCAACAGAAAGATGCTGAGGATACCTTGAACCGAACACGTGAGCAAACAACGAGGTTTTGGAGAAAATGGAAACAAAAAGGAAACTTATACTTAATACCAAGAAAGGACAGTTGAGGTTTCTGGGGAAGGTAATGAGGAAGGAGGGTTTGGAAAACCTGATACTCACAGGACAGTTTGAAGGGAAGAGGGACAGAGAAAAGCGGAGCGTAACTTACTTGATGAGCTTGAGTAAATGTATAGTGGAGCAGTGTTTGGTAAAAATAACAAAAAAAAAACTTATTACAAGGGACATGAGAATGTGGAGGGTCATGGTCGCCTTCATCCTGAAGGGACACGACACGTAGAAGAAGAAGAATATTTCGTTAGAAACAAAGAAATATGTACTGAAATGTTACGTATAATGGAAATTCGCCTCACACATTGTGGTCTACTTGTGGCAAAAGAAGCTCAAAAGTGTACCGAGCCTCATTGGGCTTAGTCAATAATTTGTCTTCTACGATATATTGATCTGGTGTACAAAACGAAATCTTAAAGCCTTATTAACTGGGATTATGTGCCCTTTATCCATGTGTTTAGTCTTCTTCCGCAGAAATAAATAGGAAATTTTAACAGAGGGTTA